TATAGCCTAGGAAAATTTGCATTTATACTTGAAACAGTGTTGTTGTTTTCTGATTTCCTGCTAAGTAGTCTTTAGAGGCTCATCCTAAAGATAATCTTTCCTAAGACTTTCATCTCAGCTTATAATGAAATCCCCTTTAGGGTATCCTCTAGATACTGCTGTTTGGAAAGGGAGAAAAGTAGACTTCCTCTGAAAACTGCATGAGATGAAACAGCCATGGCTGAGTTTACTGAGTGCCGGGTAGCTTAGCAGTGAACAAGCTAGAGCTCCTGTGGTCTTCGTGGAGTGCAGGCCTTGAGGCTGGCTCAGGACTGCTGTGCAGATGACACAAAGGCTTATTTACCAGACAGTGCCTTGAGGGCACCTCAACATGAGAAATAGGCCTCTGGTAGGATGAGGATGAGGCCTCTGAAGATGAGGCAGCTTTGGGTGTCTGTGCAGGCTTGCTCTAACTGGGCTTGCCTAATGGCATGGCACTTGAAAGTAATTCAAGGCAAGGTCTCCTCCCCAGACTGACTGACATCAGCACAGGAAATGTAGATCTGGTTACATATGTTATTTGCGGTTTATTAGGGGCTTTGAAAGTTACTCTTTGGTGTGAGGTAAGGAAGGGAAATGGAGAGAATTGTTTTTACAATGAAGTTTTCTCTGATCAGCTCTGTCTGTAGCAGGCTCCTTGGTCCGTCTCTTGACCCTAGGAAGTACTGGTTAATATTTTGAGTTTTTAAAAGGTATTATTTTTCCTTATTATAAATAGGTTATTTTCCCACTTGAAGAAAGGCCCCTTAAATCTTTAAACAGAACTAAAATAACCAGCTATTCTTACTCCCTTGAGGGAAGAAAAACCTCAAACCTGTGCACATGTTCACAGCTCCTAAGGCCCTTTGAAGGAGCCCTGTCTGATTCCTGGAGTTGTGAAGGATGGATCTTACTGCACATACCTTTTTTGGTCCTTGTTTGTTTATTGGGGAAATGAGGACAGGGGGTTTAGTGCTGCATACTGAACCCAGGACCTGGAAATATGCTAATCAAGTACTCTACCACTGAGATGCACGCCCCCATCCATTTTTAAAGGTCAGGTGGTTTCCCAATAATACTTTAAAAGCACTGACGTCACACACTGATGGTTGTAGCATTCCTGTTAAATGGCTGGGAAAACAATGAGTTACAAACAAAACCAATTTTCTGGTTTTACCACTTTATATTAGAGCAGTAAGGAAATGGAGATTCAAATAATGAATAAAATCTTTAAGATGTTCCCATTTTGATTTTCAAATTACATTTTACCATGTAATCTATAAAAACACAATGTTGTTTGGAATTGGTTTTCCTGTTTCTGCTGATGGCTGCGTTTTTCTTTCATGTTCACCGTAAGGCTGTTCGCCCATCTCTTGAGAATTTCTTGAAGGCATCACCTGTACTCAGAATGCTGTTCTGCGCTACACAAAGTTCATTCTGTCCTTGTGTTCTATTATTTTCCCTTAGCTCCACTGCTTGACTACAGGGACCTGATGTCCAGGGAGCAAATGTCCATCTGGACTAGTTAAGTATTGGCGTAGTTACTTTTCTTGTTCACTGTGACACAATACCTGACAAGCAACTTAGGAAAGGAAGAGCTTATCCTAGATGAGAGCTTGAGGGTGCCGTCCATCACGGAAGGGAAGGCCTGGCAGCAGGAGCCTGAAGCAGCTGCTCACATGGCACCCGCAGTCAAGGAAACAGGAGAGATGAATGCTGGTCCCCAGCTCACTTCTGTTTTACTCAGGCCCTAGCCATGGAACGGTGCCTTCTTCATTTAGGGTAGATCTTCCACTTAACCTAATCTAGAAACTCTCTCACCAGTCATTAATCCAAGAAGATAATGCTATGAGGGGGCATAACAGAAACGAGCAGTGGTTCAGGCATGCATTGCACATATACAGTAAGTAGGTAACAGCCAGGCATAAATAATTAACATAGTAAAAGGTTGCTATTGGTGTTTTGGAGTTTATCAAGTATGCATGACTTTGGTTGCTAATGGGGGGAGGGAGCCATTCACTAAAATTTTAGAGGTTGGGATTAACTACTCCACACTCCTATTTAATTTTTTATTTTATGTGTATGAGTGTATTGCCTGAATGCATCTAAGTGCACCCATGTCATGCAATGCCCGAGGATGTCAGAAGAGAGTGTTGGATTCCCTGGAACTGAAGTTGTGAATAGTTATTAGTTGCCATGTGGGTGTTGGGAATCAAACCCAGGTCCTAAGAGCAGCCAGTGCTCTTAATTGCTGAGCCATCTCTCCAGCCTCCTTCCCCCTAATTTGATCATTTTGTATTGCTTTTATTCAGTACAAGGACTATCCAGTTCCAGTTTGAAGATGACTTACCTAATGTGGACTATTCAAAAAGGTTTTTAAATGGGATTTGTCTTCTTGCTTAGCCTTATTGAGGCAAATGAGAGATGCTAAATTCTCATTTGCTGCTCTGGTTGCTATGATAAAACACTGACCAAAATCAACTTGGGGAAGAAAGAGTTTATTTCATCTTACAAGTTACAGCCCATTGTTGAGGGAAGCCAGAGCAGGAACCTGGAGGCAGGAACTGAAGCACAGGCCATGGAGCTCTGATGGCTGGCTTGCCTCCTGGCTTGTTCAGCTACCTGTCTTAGCCCAGGCCCACCCACATAGGGATGGTACTGCCCACAGAGGGCTGGGCCCTCCCACATCAATTAGCAATCAACAAAATCCACCACAGACATGCCCTCAGGCCAACCCAATGGAGGTAATACCTCAGTTGAGGCTCCCTCTTCCCAGGTATGTCTAGGTTTGTGTCAAAAACTGACATCCTGAGTACCATAATGAAAACATTCTATTCTGCGTAGTGACTGTGTGTATCCTGCCTTTTTTTTTTTTTTTAATGTGTATGAGTGTCTTGACTGCATGTAAGTGCACCTATATCCTTCAAAGACCATGGAGGCCAGAAAAGGGCATCAGGTCCCCTGGAATTAGAGTTATAGTTATTAGCTGCCATATGGGTGCTGGGAATCCAATCTGGGTAGTCTGGAAGAGCAGCCAGTGCTCTTAACAACTGAGCCATCTCTCCAGCCTCTATTTTATATATTCCACAAATCAGTAAGTTGCAGGTAGCCCTCAAAACAACAAGCACTCTCCAGACTCCAGGAGTGCTGTAGCCACATGCCCTACTCAGTGCTAGTTGAGGTTTTTGGGAAGCCCTTGTCTTAAATCTATCGCTACAGGTTTCAGAGCAAAGAGGGAGACAAACAGCATAGTCAGATGCCAAGATACTTGCCCAAGTTTGGAAGGAAGCAAACCTCACTGGTTTATCATGTGACAAATATTCTTTCTGCAGACAGAGCACGGGTCCTTATGAGGCTCCTAAAGATTGTCATATTCTGCCTTTGAGAACTGACGGTCCAGTTGGCAGTGTAAAACAAGTGGGCATACTTGTAAAACAAGCAATTAAAAGCAACAGAAGGATTGACTGACTGACTGACTGACTGGCACAAAGACTGAGTTCTTCAGGGGAAAGACACTGAACTGGATTGAAGGAGACCCTTTTTGCTCTTACTCAGCCTCACTACTTGAACAGGATGTCCTCAGAGTGACTTCCTCTGCTCCCATTCCACCCTTGATTGTCCTTAGTCCAGGCTGTGCCCTTTAACACTACAGTCACCAGTTAGCTTGTTACTAACTAGACCAATTTTAGTTTCTTTGCCTTCTGTAGTGTTTGATACTACTAATCATTCTCTTGGGAGTTATGTAGTAACATTATCATGTTTACTGTGCTAGGTCTTAACCCTCTCCTTACCATTTGGATGGCATTCACTTACTCAGGACTTACTTATGACTTCTGACCCCACATTCCTCTAAACAACCCACAATCCATTGTGCATCCTCACCTAAAGATCCCACAGGTGTCGCAAAATTGACTTATGAACTCAACTCACTGTCTGCTAAAATCTGTTCCTAGTCTCTATAGGAAGACAGTGGTACCTGCCAGTCTCCTAAGCCAGAAATTGGTATAATCTTTTTTTTTAATATTTATTATTCTTATTTTATGTGTATGACTATATTGCTTACATGTGTGTAAGTGCACCTGTGTCATGCAGTGACATGGGGGTCAGAAGAGGGCATCAGATGCCCTGGAACTGGAGTTACCAACAGTTGTTGGCCACCATGTGGGTGCTGGGAACCTGGGTCCTCTGCAAGAGCAGTCAGTGCTCTTAACCACTGAGCCAGCTCTCCAGCCCCAGTGTAATCTTTTTTTAGTAATATTACATTCATTCACCAATGTTTTGGTACATGTGTGGGCGTGCCTATGCCACAATGTGTGTGGGCGGTCAAAAGATGACTTGTGGAAGTTGGTTCTCATTATGTGGGTTCAAGGGCTCAAACTCAGGTTGTCAGGCTTGGCAGCAAGTGCCTTTACCCACTGAGCCATCTGGCTAGCCA